AAAAAACGATGTTCCAAACCATTTTCCATGTGAGAGCCCTTCCTGATTGATGTCCTCTGTCCATTTCCTATGTAACTCATACCACGAACCTAATAATTCTGAATATGACTTTCATCTCACACTACATTCTCTACAGTTAACAATAAAGCCATTTCAAAACTGATGAGCTGTTTACATATACAGGAAAGAAGCATCAACCCCTGTGCAGTGTCAACATGAAAACCTCTGTCCTCTGCCCAACCTGCGGTTCAGTCAGAGCCCTGTCCAAAGCGGGATCAAAGCTTTGCCCTAAGCTCTCTTGATAGTAAAAGGATACCACAGTCCCCAAGGCCACTTGAATTAAGAACTTCACTGGAAAAAAAAAAAGGCTGTCAAATAATTTATTAAACCTCGTGTGCATCAGTTTCTACTTAAGAATGCCGAAACGTTCAAGTTTGAAAACATATTCAAATTCAATCATTCCCAGGGCTACCATGCTTCTCATCTTAGCTAAATGGATCAAAAAAATTTAGGGTAATAATCAATAGTGCCAAGAGCAATCATCGAATACTTCTTACATGCTAATCTCATGTCTCAAAAACATACTGTCATCAATGGATGCCATGTTGCTTTGATAATGTGAATTAAATGGGCCACCTAATAAGGAAAACCAATTATAAATTGTTTTATTGACCATGATAATTGTCAGAACTGTGAGGGGGGAAAAAAGACAAAAGGTCCCTGCTAACTTTGACTTTTTTTTAAACCCCAATAAATTTAAATATCCTTCATGTTTTTCTCAAGCTGTTTTGTGTCCTGCAAGTACAGGATTTCATGTGTTTAAAAATGTTCATCTCTTTATGAGAGGCAGCCTTTCTTTCCTTGTGATTCACTGATTAAAACAGAAGGAGCTCAGCTTTGAAATGCACACTTGAAGTGAACTGTGGTGAGCCTGGGTCTTTGGCATTTGATGGATAGCCATTTTTCCAGAGGGTGAAAGAGAGTGCATCGCATATGGTTGCAATTGACAAGTCAGTAGTCAGGAAAGAGGCGATTTCAATGTAAAGAAAGAATAACTAGGTCTTGAAAGCCTATAATTCAAATTGCGTTTCTAGCACTGTGAGTAAATTAATATAAATTTAAGGTAAGCATCACATTGATCAGACATGGCTAATGGGGTCTTTGGGGAGGAAATCTGCTCTTAGAGTCTCACAGATTGAAGTCTTCCCTGAGCACCACACATCTTGCTTTCAGAGACCCGTCTTGCTTGCAGAGACTGTATTTCCTATTTTCCACGGCCATAGTCCAGATGACTTAAACCTAAAATTACAGGCTTTATAAATGGGTACAGAGTAGGTAGTATTTGATATCCTCCTGCTGCCTGAGTTGTACCCTGACGTGATGTGTCCCTTGCTTGTAGCTGCACAATATTGGACCAAGTGCCATCAGTGACACCCTTCTGGAGGTGGGCTGGCCGTTCTCTGCCCGGGATGAATTTCTCCTTTATATTTTTCACATTCAAACTCTGGGACCTCTACAATGTCAAACAAATCCTGACATCAACCCACAGGATATAAAGGTAGGAGCCTGGTGTAACCGGCAGCTTTGTTTATTTTTTATGGTAAGGTTAAAAATAAAAAACAGTGGCTTGTAAAAGAAAGCAAATAATTATAAATTATTTCCATGATAATTGTCCAAGACGTTTTCTTTCAGTTTTGTAGTTAAAATGCCAGATCTAACGTATAATATCACTCCTAGAAAACTTAAATTTCTCTTAGTGTTATAGTTCATGGTGACCTGTTATTTATTTAGCCTATTTCAATATGTACTTGTTATATATGGTTTGACTAGCAGCACAACCAAACGAAAATCACTGACATGTCATGCATTGGGGAATTTGTACAAAATGCTATTTTTAAAGTCTTTTTTGGTATATTGCCAAAAGTCATGAGGATCTTTGCCAAAACAGCTTTTCCAGCTGTTGCCAATAGCAAGTGATGAAATGCGATAATTTGCCAAAGGCCATCTCAGTGCCCTGAGAACCCCCAGACTGGAATTTTCAGGACCCCATTCTTGAGTGAAGCTTATAAGAAGCCAAGAGCACTGCTTGTCAAACTCTCAAGTGTATCAGAATCACCTGGGACTCCAGGATACAGGTCCGGGGTGGGGCCCTAGAGTCTGTCTCTCTGCAAACACCCACCTGATATCCATGAGGCTGGTTTGCTGGTCACACTTCAGCTAACAAGGAGCTCAAGCGTCCACAGAGCTGATCCCATCCAAATTAAGATCCAAATTTGGCTTTAGGTTCCTTCTGGAAAGGAAAGAAATTCATTAGCATAAGCCCTAGAAAATGTCACATTTGAATGAAGAAGAAAAAAAACCCTTGTTAATCAGATGTCCTCACAAGAGAACTTCATTTAAGAATGAACATCCCATAGTTGCTGCCTGGACACAGTGTCTCCATGAGAAATGGTGCAGAGGGCAGCTTCATGAAACACACTCAGCCGGCCAGGACACAGGTCTCCCTCTACTCTCAACCAGGGACCCTGGGACATTGCCCGTTATGAAAGGCTTTCTTTCTTCAGCTCAACATGCCTTCTGTTCAAAGAGAGGAAGGCTAAAAGGGGGTTCAGTATGAAAAGATTTATGGGGCACCAAGCTTCCTTCTTTATGGGAAAATAATAAAGAAGACCACTTGTATTCCACAAAATTATTTCAAATCCTCCCTTCCTGGATTTTTTTTCCCATTTCCTCTCTCTTTGCTTTTCATTGAGATGATGTTAACAAAATCATCTTCACAGACAGTAGCTCATTATAAAATATCTTCAAATATTAATGTGTAACACTGAAATAATTAAAGCATATCCCGTTCTGTGGTTAACTATACTCTGTTTCAGTCATAGATGCTTGGGGCACGTGATTATGTAGAAGGTTTCTAACTCTCTTTGAGTGTAATGTTTAGTTTATATCTGACACTATTTATATATGTTTGTATATATTATGTAACTTGTTTAATGTGCACCATGTTAGTTGTATTTTTTTTTCTTCTGTTGCAATTTAACATTTACGGTGACTGGAACAGTGCAAATAGATAACTTGCCTTAAATGTTGACAGATTCATGCAAACTGAGTGGTAGTAAATACTAAGCACCTGTCTTCCCTGCTACCCAGTTATTCTTTAGAGTGCAGACGTTAATTAAAAATCTGTCAGAGGTTAGTAATTTTTAAAACGTGACTTAATTATGGTCCTTTTATAAAATTCTTAATCTGTGGAAAGTCAAATAAGATTTGATTACAATAAAATAACAGCTCCCTAAAATAACTAATTATAACAATTCATGAATTCTTGAAATTCTGAATTCATGGGACACTTGAAATGTTGTTACTTTCAAGCTCTCAAAGTACTGTTACTTGTATTGAATAAGCGTGACCCAGAGAGTCTAAAAGCGCTTTTACCAATAAATACATTTTAAAAATTGTAATCAGTTTGTATCAGTAGCTATAAACAATTGAGAGTACTTGAAGATTATTTTCCTCTTAAGGTATTAAGTAATTTCTTGGTGAAGTCGTTATTAATTTACTTGGCAATTTATTTCTTCCTAGATAACTCAGACAAAGCTGATGTCTATTTTCTGTCTTAAATATGAATTGGAAATTAGTAAGAAACAAATTATTATATCTTGTTATTGTCAAAAGAATAGGCCTGGGAAATTTTTTAATTTAATATCAATTTCAGATTCTTACATCAAAGCTAATTGCCATTTTTTTTAGAGTACAGATGGTTTTATTTTTAACTACCTATAGTTATTTTTCTTAACATGGTTCTTTAAGTAGTAGTAGAAAGAATAGGTTTAGTAAAAGGATCGGGGAGGCAGAAATCTATTTGTATAGGCAAGAATTACATTCCAGTATTAAATCTTACCCACTGAGGAGTGGACTAAGGTAAAATTCCTCACTATTTGGTTCTCCAATTTCTTTTTAACTGGTGAGTGCCTTTTAAAACACCTGCCTCTGTGAACAGTCTATTTTCAACAAATCCTTTCTGATCACGCTCGAGTCCCCACTGGACCAGCCACCAAAATATCCCAGCTGTGGCCCTGTCAGAGGGGGAACTACCACCCCAACTTTCTGGGGCTTCCTCTGGAGGATTTTCAGAGTTCCCCACCCTGCTTTCCTCTTCCACATTCAGTTGATTTCCTTTGAGCAAATTCCCTTTCTCTCTTGTTCACATACACTTTTTTAGTCACCTTTTCCCTCCTGTATTTATTCTCATTTTTGCCCACTTACCTCTTTCCAGCACTCACAAATGTCTAAGCAGATTTGCTTAGGAAGAAGAAACCATCAGGTTTCCTCCGAAACCTTTTCTAGGCCACCCACACCAAGGAACCAGCGCCACCAAGTTGAAAACCTTTAAAATTCTCCAGTAGCCTCTGCAGCACCCCACAACGTTTCCTCCTAATTAAATGTATCAGCATTTAATACAACGTACTTATCACAAAGATTTTTATTCTCTACTTTTAAAATTACTCATATAGCAACTGTCCTGGCTTTATTTTTTTATTGCAAATATATAGTTTTTTATTGCAATTATATAAAAGCCATATTGTGGACAGATTTTTGTGTGTGTGAGCTGGCTTGAGAACTGGACCACCATTTAAAACATCATTTCTAAAGAAAAATGTTTGCTCAGTGCCAAACGTTTAGCCTAAACCCCTCTGAAATACAACCCGTCTATAAATTGAGTATGTATTCCAAATGTGACTCTCCTTGCATAAGCCTCAAAGTCTGAAAAGGCCGGAACAGGGTTCAGTTTTCACAACAGTAACTGGTACCGTTCGGTTATCCCAGCAAGTGACCCTAATGTCCCCAAGTTTTAAAGAGCAAACACTGGCTGCCTTTGAAAGCCACTAACGACCATGATCATGCTGTCACCTGTGGCTGCTTAGCAAGATAATGCACAGGAGATCTCACCCACAGCCACCTCACTGGTTGCCCAAACACAGCGTGTCAGCAACTAAATTAGGGTTGGCGGGGTGGCCATCAGCAAGGACATGCTCAAATACCACTAGAAGTTGGTGAGTTCTTTTATTTAAATACGTGCCTCATAAAGGATTCGCTTAGCCTGCCTTGTCAACACTGTTCAAACATTCAAGTATGAGGGTCAGTGGCATCACGGTCGATGGTGGGGTTGAGGAAAAGCTGAATGGGCTGCCCAGCCCTCGTGGTAGCCAGCTCAAGCTAGCGTGAAGGGGTGGCCGTGCCTTGGGCACATTCACGCCTGCTTTCCCTTTTGCCTGTCAGTAAGAAGGGTGCTGTTTTTGGTTGTTTGTTCCCCCTGTGATGGTTTCACTTCACCAAGGCCATGTCTCTGTCTTCTGTAAACATCGCGGCGTAAGCAGGTGGCCAGGGAGGTTCTACCTCCTGGTTTCCTGGTCCAGGTCAGAGGTAGAGGACTTCCATGTGGCAATGTCTCTGCATTCTCCCTTCTAAAACATTTTGAAACGTTCAACTGTCTGCAGCATTCAGACCAATCCATTAAATCTAATTCATTCCAGATCCTTCTTGGAATACAATTTTAGAGTTGAGTAAAGTATTTCTCAACTATTCTAAAGGCAGTAAAATAATGGTTCCAAACTACCAATTTTCTTATTTTGGTGGAGTTTATCCTGAGGCTTGGCGAGCCCTTCAAACAGGCTGTGATTTCTAGATAAGATGACATTAAAAAACTAAACACTATTAAGTATCCAAAATGGATAAAAAAATAAAGGATTTTTTTTTTAATTGGCAAAATTGTGTAATGAACAGCCAAGTGTGAGATGCGGAGAAAGGGCTATAGAATGTGAGAGTGTTCTCAGGAGGGGAAAACAAAAGAGACGCTCAAATTCAACTTGTGTTAAGATCACAATACAACACTCTGGGCCCAAGTTCAAGGAAGAATCCTGAGGTAGACATGGTCTGACAGAGGCTAGACTACGACAGCCGTCACAAGAGAGAGAAAGCCAGTGTTGTATAGGAACCATCTTTGCAGCCTGGAAAGCAGGAGGTAACGACTAAAAACTCGTCTCTTGAACAAGACCATTCCCACCGGAAATGCAAATTACAATCACATAGTACAAGCATGGAAAGCAGAAACACAGAAACCGTTCATCAAAGATTATAGCCCTGCAAATAGTTTTTTTATTTGTTAAATCAGCGAGCCCACAGACAGTGGCTTGGCTTGGCAATTCTGCATAGTTTTGTCTTATCCTTAAGGGAATTTTCTTCCTTCACTACTGCCCCCACTTAGTAACTGCCTCTTATTAATTCAGAATGCAGGGATGTTCGCGCTCATCTCCTTCTCCTTCT